CTCGCATAGTAGACGAGATCTGGTTCGGGGCACGAGATGAAGTGGCGCAATTGATAGTGTCTGCACCCGTCAGCGTCGACCCATGGTATTGCAGTGTCTGGCTGGCGCTCACGCGATGGGGATCTTGGTCGGGTAGTACGCCTTGTGAGCCAAGACAAAGGTCTCGGTGTCTCTGCTCAGGAAGTCATCGACGGCCATAGTTTGCGGTCAGGCAGGAGAAGGCCGCATGTCTCTGCGATGCTGGGTGGAGCCGGTGAGGCTCAGCGGCAGCAGCAGGCACTCTACGTCACAGTTGTCTAAGCGCAGAAGGCTAGAGGGTTTGACAGGAGGGGCTGCAGACAGGTTCGAGGGCGAGATGCAGCGGGTGCGTAGATTCTAGGTGTATGTGGGCGTGCGTTGGATATGTCGTAGGGCGGGCTGGCAGAGTCGCCGTGTCTCGCGCTGCTCCAGGCGTCACCATGGTCAAGCATCTTCCCCACACGCGAGCGAGATGCGCCAAGCCCTGAGCACAGCGACGCACGGCGAGGGCCATGACACAGAGTGCAGAGGCCGTCATCGCGTCATCCACCAGCGTCGCCCACTGGCAAAAAGTGCATTTCGCCCCATCTTCCGGAGGTAGGTCGCATGCGCAATTGTTCGTAGCAACTCGGAAGCACAGACATTAACAGCGGAACCTCGGGCGGCGATTTTACACCAAAACGAGCTAGAATCTTCTCCGAGAATTTTGTCCATCGTCAAAGCTTCCATCACTACATCATATATACCATCGCCCTCCCACCATCCATCTCTGCACCCAATCTTCTGTCGCTTGCATCCCCTCCCGCAGCGTCTCTCACATCCACAATGCTGTCCTCAAGATTATCACGGACCGTAAGCAATTGCATGCATCCAAATATACTTGACATTCTCTGACCTCATCATAGTTTTTGCCGCGTGCGGCCTCGGCGGCGCGACGCACACCCGCCTTCAGGGCCCCCGCTATGTTCACGCGCGGGTACGCTGAGGGCGGCGAGGAGAAGGTCAAGGGCTCAGTCATTGGTATTGACTTGGGTACCACCAACTCCGCCGTCGCTGTCATGGAGGGCAAGGTTCCTCGCATCATTGAGAACTCCGAGGGTACGTTCATCTGGTTTTTCACCCAAATTGGCCATCCCGCTGACCCAATCCACAGGTGGCCGCACAACCCCATCCGTCGTCGGTTTCACAAAGGAGGGCGAGCGTCTCGTCGGTATCGCCGCTAAGCGCCAGGCTGTCGTCAACCCCGAGAACACTCTTTTCGCTACAAAGCGTCTCATCGGCCGAAAGTTCACCGATGCTGAGGTCCAGCGCGATATCCAGCAGGTTCCATACAAGATCGTCCAGCACACCAACGGTGATGCCTGGCTCGAGGCCCAAGGACAGAAGTACTCGCCTTCCCAGGTCGGAGGTTTCGTCCTTGGAAAGATGAAGGAGACCGCCGAGTCCTACATGGGCAAGAACGTCAAGAACGCTGTCGTCACCGTCCCCGCCTACTTCAACGACTCCCAGCGTCAAGCCACCAAGGATGCTGGTCAAATCGCTGGTCTCAACGTCCTCCGTGTCGTCAACGAACCCACCGCTGCCGCTCTCGCCTACGGTCTTGACAAGGCCACCGACAACGTCGTAGCTGTCTACGACTTGGGTGGTGGAACATTCGATATCTCCATTCTTGAGATCCAGGCTGGTGTCTTCGAGGTCAAGTCCACCAACGGTGACACTCACCTTGGAGGTGAAGACTTCGACATCACTCTCGTCCGCCACCTCGTTGACCAGTTCAAGAGGGAGCAGGGTATCGACCTGAACAGCGACCGCATGGCCATCCAGCGTATCCGTGAGGCCGCTGAGAAGGCCAAGATCGAGCTGTCTTCCTCCTCTCAGACCGACATCAACCTGCCCTTCATCACTGCCGACGCTTCCGGTCCCAAGCACATCAACACCAAGCTCACCCGCTCCCAGCTTGAGAAGATGATGGACCCTCTCATCACCCGCACCGTCGAGCCCGTCCGCAAGGCCCTCAAGGACGCCAACTTGAAGGCTACCGACATTTCCGAGGTTATCCTCGTTGGTGGTATGACCCGTATGCCCAAGGTTACCGAGTCTGTCAAGAGCATCTTCGGCCGTGACCCCGCTAAGTCGGTCAACCCCGACGAGGCTGTTGCGATTGGTGCTGCTATCCAGGGTGCTGTCCTTGCTGGTGAGGTCACTGACCTCCTCCTGCTCGATGTTACTCCTCTCTCCCTCGGTATTGAGACCCTCGGTGGTGTCTTCACCCGTTTGATCAACCGTAACACCACTATCCCCACCAAGAAGTCCCAGGTCTTCTCCACCGCTGCTGACTTCCAGAGCGCTGTCGAGATCAAGGTCTACCAGGGTGAGCGTGAGCTTGTCCGCGACAACAAGCTCCTCGGCAACTTCCAGCTCGTTGGCATCCCCCCGGCCCACCGTGGTGTACCCCAAATTGAGGTCACCTTCGATATCGACGCTGACTCCATTGTCCACGTTCACGCCAAGGACAAGTCCACCAACAAGGACCAGTCCATCACCATCGCTTCCGGATCTGGTCTCTCAGACGCTGAGATCGAGAACATGGTCAAGGACTCTGAGCAGTACGCTGAGCAAGACAAGGAGCGCAAGAACTCCATCGAGGCTGCCAACCGCGCTGACAGTGTTGTAAACGACACTGAGAAGGCTCTCAAGGAGTTCGAGGACCGCCTCGACAAGGCTGAGGCCGAGAAGATCAAGGAGAAGATCGCTTCCATGCGCGAGTTCATCTCCCAGAGCCAGTCTGGCGAGGGCTCTGCCACCGCCGCTGAGATCAAGGAGAAGACCGACGAACTCCAGAACGCCTCCCTGAGCCTGTTCGACCAGATGCACAAGGCCCGCTCCGAGAGCCAAAACCAGAGCGAGCAGCCTCAGCAGCCTGAGGGTGAGGGCGAGAAGAAGCAGTAAATGCTTTGATCGTCCAGCACTGGTTTTTGTCTTTCTTGTTGATCGCTTCGTTACGTCCAAAAGTAGGCGTCTTGCATCCTGTCATGATTGGTCTGGTTTAGGTCACGTCTAGACGTGTACATGTCCCTGCACATGTTTGAGCATCTCTGTATCATACTTTCCGACGGTTTCTCTTCTCACATTAGCGTTTGTTTTATTACCCTTACGGATCCTTGGTACACGTCGGAATTAACGAAACAGTGATATCCTCTGGTGGTCAGGACACGATGTGGAAGGGACGATATAATGGTGGAGTCATGAATGTACCATAGTCTAGAGATGCGAGATGGTAGCACTCCGCTTACTTCTCCGCTCTACAATCTACGATTTGAAATGTTCATGCTACTGTCCTCACATTTGCGCTAATATCGTGATCAATGAACCACACTATAGGTTTACATGATCTTCTGTGCCCCGCTATCTGAACCTCGGGATAACCTCATAATGTCGACCCGCTAAAGTCTTACGTCATAGCCGACCTCACAACCGTTGGCTTCCGGCCTTTGACTATGCGCAAAGTTAACCTCAGATTGAACAGCCTCTTCCTATGACTCCATCTCACATTGCAGTCAAACAAGGTTTCCTCATCTCGCGTGGGACCATCATCACTAGATCAATCGTCACCAAGTCCATACACTGTTCATTGAAGTACTCTCCGCTTTGTACACCCACCGGGATCGGCCCATCTGGTACTCAATACCGACGCCCTTTGAGCATTCGACTCAGCTCGACTAAAACCAAGCCCAAGATGACAGACGCAACGAACCACCCCCTCTCCGGTCTCTGGCAACCGACGCAACTCCAGAAACTACACTACGGCGCCGACTCAGTCAAACAGCATCTCCTCTCATGCCTCCCAAAAGAGTCAAGCAAAGCCTTCATCATCACCGGAAACTCACTTGCTAGCAAAACACCCTTGGTAAAGCAAGTCGAAGAGCTGTTGGGAAGCAAGCACGCCGGCACCTTCTCCAAGATCGGCGAACACGCACCTGTCGCCCAACTCGACGAAGCCACCGACCTAGTCAAGAAAGACGAAAGCATCGATACTGTCATCTCCATTGGCGGCGGAAGCCCGATCGACAGCTCCAAAGCCATCAGCTATCGTCTGAACGAGAAGACTGGAAAGTACCTATACCACATCGCGATCCCCACCACGCTCAGCGCAAGTGAGTGCACCCTGATGGCTGGCTACACGCAATCCGATGGTGTCAAGACAGGCGTGCGAGCCAAAGAACTCGTTCCTCATTGCGTAATCTACGATGCCAAATTCGCCCTGCATACCCCCGAGCGCCTGTGGATGTCAACAGGTCTCCGTGCCATGGATCATGCTATCGAGCTATTATACCATCCCACCGCCACCGAGATGCCTGCCAGATGGTTAACGCTACAGTCCGCGGCCACCCTCTTCGAAGCCCTGCCAAAGTACAAGCAAAACCCCAAAGACGAAGATGTGATCACGAAGCTTCAACTCGCTGCTTTCGCTTCCCTGGGCTTTTTGGGTTACAACATCAAGGGCGGTCTAGGCCTCTCACACGCTCTGGGGTACGCACTAGGTTCTCCTTATAGTATCCCGCATGGCATTACTTCCTGTCTCACTCTCGGACATGTGGTCAAGCTCAAAGCTCAAGACCCTGCTGCAGCGGAGCAAGTTGCTCGTTTGCTTCCTTTTATCGGCGAATCGGCATCTGGTGATGCCAAGGCTGATGCGGAGAAGGTAGGTGATAGGGTGCTGAAGTTGGTGAAGGATCTGGAGCTGGATAGCGATTTGAGAAATTACAAAGTGGGCAAGGATCAGATTCCGGTGATCACTGAGAGAGCGACTGGTGGGCAGAAGGAAGGTCAGGTATATGATGCTGTTGAGGGGCTGGTTAAGGGGTTGTTTGTTTGATTTTGCATTTACTTCGCCTTCTCTACCCTTCTACCCCCCTAAGCCTTAGGCGTTCCTCTAGAAATTAAAAGCACGAGAAAAGCCTTTCATGTTCACATAAAGTAAACTAAGCTTTAGCGGCACGAACCGCATTGATCTTTCCAATCAAGAACTCGCCAGCCTCCTCCGCGTCATCGCCATAGCTGAGATGAGGAAGTAGAACAGCCCCTGCGAGGTTACCGTCACAAACCGTGTCGCGAACGAGCCCACCGCAAAAGATTCGGAGCTTGTCGCGGGGGAAGTTGGGGATCTGCTGGTTGTCACGGCGGTTTTGGGTGTCGCCAAAGGTAACGACACCAGCGATCTGGTTCTTGACACTGGCGGAGAGATCCTCGATAGCGCGGTGGTTGACTGCTGCACCTTGACTGTGGTCATGATTAGTCGTTGAATGAGTTGGAGAAGGGGCGGACATACGAGTAGCCACCGCAGACGATGACAGCCGAAGGACATTGACTGTTGATGTCTTCAAGAATGCCGCGCATCTCGCGCTCGGAGACGAGATCGGTACCACCGGGAAGATAGTTGGTGGAAAGCAGCGCTGCATAGTCGACGCCCTCAATAGCCAGGTCGTCGCCGTATTCGCGGCGCAGCTCATCGCCGAGTGGCTGACCGATGATAGAGCCCTATTCCCTCAAGTTAAACCAAGGTACAACTACCCAACCCTCGGATAACTTACCATGTTGCCTGCTTCGGTAGATCCCCGAGCCCAAACAAAGATGACATCCCTACATCCGCCACCCAAACGGCTGGAGAACTCATTCTCGGTCAAGCTGGTGCGGTCAAAGAAGATCTGGCGTGTCGCAACCACAGCAGACCCCGAGTTGGGGAGCGCGATAGGCGTGGCAGAAGAGGCGATGGCCAAAGCCAGGATGGAGATGATGGTGTTCATCATGATGAAAGTAAGAGCGAAAGATGTGTTTGGTAAAGAGACTACGGCGTAGAAAGGCGAAGGCGAAGGCGAACAGAGAGAGCGAGAGTGAGTGAAAGACAGAAGGAGCTCGTTGTTGAAGCTTGCCGGATGATTGTGAGGTGAAGATGCCTCATACTTATAAACACGGTCTGCTCAACCCTCCTTCTCAACCCACACTCTCCTCTTTTCGCAAATGATCCCGTCTCACTATCAATATCTTGGTGTGTTCCATGAGCAGCTCGCCGACGTTGCTGCCTGAGCCGAGGCAGCTCTTACTCCTCTCCACCACCCAATTAGCTAGAGCCTGAGGAGGTTCTCTTCAAGTGGCCAAGAACGTAGTATTATACCAAGACACGGGGAGGAAAAGTAAAGCCTAAGATTAGAAGTTGGTGTGTGAGATAGCAGATAAGATACAGGGCCTGTCCTAAACCTCACTCCTGGTAGTTCTGGACTGACATTGGAAGACTTTGGAAACACCAATAGCTGCTCGTAGAGCATTCGACGCACCTCGGCAACTTATTGTGTATGATTGCATGACTCTTAGATTGTCTGGGGTGCATCGGCAATTCGACGCGAACGAGATCTTTTCAAGGTTGGATTCATCGAATTGTGTCGCAGGTCCTTGCGTCTGATCGGGCTTGGCTTGCCGTGATTGAAAGCTAGATTGGGATTGTCGTCGTTTGCACCCGTCCATGCAGAAAGACGTGGGACCACGGGATTAGGCGTCCCGCCACGGCGATGAACTGTTGCTTACTGTAATCTTCGCGGTTGCAACCACAGCCATATCGATACCTCAGGCATGCACTCACCTCGTACTGACGGTCATTGCTTTCGACCTAGACAAAAGATGACTGTATTTAAGATTGATGATCTGTAGCCGTGAGCAACTCGAAAGAACGCAATTGGTGTAATGCGCATGATATTACCACACATTACTGTCAAACGTACACAACTCCCCATGATACTTCATTCCTGGTCATCAACTGGCTGCAATCATGCCTCGGTACAAAAATCGAATAGATTAAAGGTTCACAAAGCCAAGAGGATGTTTTGTGCAGATGATCGCAACACCATCGACACCCTTGTCAAACATGTCACAGTTGCCGAGGTCCCATTTCAGCCACCACAGTCATCCAATCTTTCAACAACACAATGCCACTCAACCTTGTCGTGTCTTCCTGTGACGTTTGATAGGGATGGAAGTTGCGTTCGAGATGGGCGAACTTATAAGGCACTCTCGTCTCCTTCCAAGATGCGTGCAACAACAAGTTCTACACGAGCACATCAAGTTCACTGCCCACGAAGATGCGCTACACTTCTATTGCTCCTCTTTTGGCCTTCGCATTCTTTGCCACCTCTTCCGCCCAAGAGGAATGTCCGGAGCTGCCTGGTAGCGGTGTGGAAATCGGAGAGCCGGTTCCAATCGTTCCTGGCGATGTCCCCAGAGGATGTTCCGACTACGAGATACTCGTTGGTAAGCTGCAGTGCAATGATCGCAAATATCTACCGCAACATTGACCATGTTTCTAGCTCGCGGGACCAGCGAGCCTAGCTTCCCAAAATACGGCGTCATCGTTGGTGACCCTGTTGTGAGCAACGTTTCAGCGGAACTGTCTGGAGTACAGGGGTATCCGGTCCAGGTACGATATCCAAGTATTGCTTCGAACAAAGCATCACCAACTGAATTCCTTTCAGTACCCAGCCAGCTCGCAAATCATTTCTGGTGGACGGCAAGGCGTCGATGACATTGTTCAGCGCTTGACCGCGCAGTCTTCCGCCTGCCCCAATCAGACCTTTTCTCTGGTCGGCTACTCGCAAGGCGCAAGCATCATGCACCGAGCTGCAGACAGACTGCCTACTTCTCTGTTCCCCAAGATCAAGTCGGTTGTCATGTTTGGAGACCCAAATTTGAGGCTGGGCGTAGTTGGAGATAAGTTCCCTAATGGTCTGAAGGCAAAGGTGCTGCAGATTTGTGCAAAGGGCGATCCTGTAAGTCTATCAATCGTGTTGTACGAGGGTGGGAGACAGACCATGCTGACCATGAGATGTAGGTCTGTGACTCTGGGTCCTGTCAGTTCTATCACTTGACCTACATCCGTCCCGAATACATTGAAGGGGCCGTGACGTTTATCGCGAGGGCCTTCAAGGGTATGACCCTCTAGAGCGGTACTGTGGTTTAGCAGTCTGTATGGTTGCTCTGATAGATCAAGGCATTTTGAGTAAGTATTTGGTCCTCCAGAATATGTAAGATTGAGAAACAGAGTATCGAAGCAGGTGATATACATATGTATATAATCTGAACCGGAGTGGTGACCTGCCAACGCCAACACCAACCGAACGCTGAATCGAAAAGTGATGATAGCAACCCAGAACAGACGTCGTTTGAAAAGAGCGACACGTGAAGTGGATGCCATGCCGCGAAAGGCGTCTTAACTAGCAAGTTCCCCAATCACACCGGCCACGTAGCATAGTGCCGAGGCCCAGATGGCCGTTTTGACTATACCCGCTGCTTTACCGCCCCTCTTCTTATCTTTGGTCGTTCGTCCGCTCCGGTCTTGTTCTGTGCTGCTCTCTTGATTAATAACTGCTCGCTCGGCAGCCTGCCTGCGCTCAGTGAAATCCTTCTCAAGTTGCTCTTCGCTCTCTTCTGGCCCAACGTAGCCGGTAGGCGATAGGCGTGCCGTTCCATCTATCGGATTGATGTAAGTTCTTTCTCCTGTGATGCCAGCGTCCTTGTTCTGCTCCATTGTGGTTGATGGATCGGCCGTTTGGAAGGGTCTGGTAGACGCTGTGGAACTGAGACCGCCGCGCAAGACGAGCAAATACTTGTTTGCTTTGACGATCTCAAGACCATTCTCGATGTACGGAATGAACTTAGCGGGCTCTTCGAGAGTTGATAGCGCTTCATGTAGTGGTATTATAGGAGGGGCCTTATGGGGTTCCGTTGTTGTAGAGGTGGTTAGCGAAAGCTTGCCGCTGTGCGGATCGTGCAAAAGGATTGTATAGATCGTTGGTGAGCCCGGTTCTGGTGAATGCGATGATGCGCCTGACTGAGGTATTTCACCAACAGCATCGTCAATGCTCGGTTTCGGGTCTACTGTGGCATGTTCGGTCGTTGGAGTAGTGTGGTCAGCGGTAAAGATTTCTTGTGTAGCTTTTGGGGCTGCATCGATTGCTGTGACTTCTTCTCCGCGCACGGTATCTGCGGTAGTTGTGCCACTGGCGTGATATGAGGCGTCGTCCATTGTAGGATCCTCCTTCAACATGTCAAACTTCTTCACGTAATGATCTTCAGTCAATCTGCTTTCCTTAACCGGACAGGCCGGCTGCTCGTGATCAGTGGCGACAGGACCAGACCTATCCTCGTTCGAGTTTTGCATGTTATCAGCCAGTTCGTAGTCGTCACGTTCGTGGGTCACCTTCACGTCGGCCTCTGTTGCGCCTATCTTAGATGGCGTTTCACTCTCTAAGCTCTCCAAAACGGGTCCGAATGGTCTAAACAGGCTGTGTGCAAGGGGTCCTCGCTCTTCAAACGATTTGCTCGGTGTTGCCTTCGGCATACGCGCGTATCCATCATCTGAGAGTCCACGCATAGCTGACTTCTGTGCATCGACCTCATGGGCGAGACGTTCTTCAGCAGCTACCTTGGCACGAAGCTGGGCTTTGTCGGCATCACTCATAGCGGAAGACGTCTTGGTCTGAGATGACTGCTCACGGTCCTGCGGAACTTCCAGAGCTGGGGTGTCGGGAAAGATTTTAATGTCCTCCCAGAGATGTGGAGCCACACCGTAAACGAGCATGGCACGTTCCAGCAATCGAGATAGGGCCATCTGTGTATCTCTAAGAGTTAGCAAACTGTTCGCAACAGCTTTGTAGTTTGCGAGCATGCTCTGATCAATTTCCGGGTCCTCGAGCCGGGCCTGTAGACTCCAGATGAGATAACGCGTAAGGTGAGCGTTCTTCTGGGTAATTTTCGACGCAATGCTCAGGCGCCTTTTGAACGCTGGTGAGGCGTTCTTTGTTGCGTCCGAGTCGCCGAGATCTTGGAGCAAGGCGTATGCCTTATTAAGGTCGTTGTCTGTGCTCTGGTACCGGAGACGCAATTCTTGAATTGCCCTTACTTTCTTCGGCGTCAATGAACGAAGCTTTCCGATTTCTGAGCGTTGTCGTAGAGTGTTGATAGCAGAGTCCAGGAGGTCCTCATCCGCTTTCATACGCCTCAAGAGAGGTTTAGATGCTGGAATGTCTGCCTCTAGGTCTTCGACCACTTGCTTCATCGTCGTGCGACCTTTGCGAATACGTGCTAGGATCTTGTCGAAGAACAAGCGGGTTTTCTTCGCATCCGCTTCTTCGGTCGGGTCTTGCCAGAAAAGACTAGAGAATCTTGCACCGCTTTCTTCAAGCCAAGACTTCATCCGTTCGACGCTCGACTCCAACTGGCTTTCGTCTGCTTTGTATGGGGTTTCGTCCATCTTTGTAGTTGTCCTGGGCTCACTGGATTCTTGTGAATCAAACGAGATCTCTGGCCGCTGCATTTGGCGTTCGATTCGACGAACGTATTGGTCATTGATGATCTTGGACTCAAGCATCGGATCCATACCGGTCTTTGCCTTGGGGGTGCTCTCGAAAGTGCTCTCCAATCTAGCCCGATCCGCTTTTCTACGTTCTTCGTCCAGGACCTTGCTCCTTCTTGCGGCCATGTTCGCACGAATCTCCTCCGCACTCAAGAAGTCCAAGTCGTCTTTGGGCAACTGGCTCAAGATTTTTGACGTTGACCTCATAGATGTGACGCTGCCTTGTGTACTGGGTGTCTCTTGTGGTGGGATGTGTTCTTGCGTGGAAGGTTGCT